GACATTGTAGCGTTCAGTGAGAGAAGAGCGCAGGATGCTGCAGCGGTCTGTAGTGGATGCTGCAGCAGCCTGTAGCGGATGCTGCAGCAGTCTATAGCGGATACTGCAGCGGTCTGTAGTGGATGCTGCAGCGGTCTGTAGTGGATGCTGCAGCGGTCTGTAGCGATGCTGCAGCGGTCTGTAGCGATGCTGCAGCGGTCTGTAGTGGATGCTGCAGCGATCTGTAGCGAATGCTGCAGCGGTCTGTAGTGGATGCTGCAGCGGATGCTGCAGCGGTCTGTAGTGGATGCTGCAGCGGTCTGTAGCGATGCTGCAGCGGTCTGTAGCGGATGCTGCAGCAGTCTGTAGTGGATGCTGCAGCAGTCTGTAGTGGATGCTGCAGCGGTCTGTAGAGGATGCTGCAGCGGTCTGTAGCGGATGCTGCAGCGGTCTGTAGTGGATGCTGCAGCGGTCTGTAGCGAAGCTGCAGCGGTCTGTAGCGGATGCTGCAGCGGTCTGTAGCGAAGCTGCAGCGGTCTGTAGCGGATGCTGCAGCGGTCTGTAGTGGATGCTGCAGCAGTCTGTAGTGGATGCTGCAGCAGTCTGTAGCGATGCTGCAGCGGTCTGTAGCGGATGCTGCAGCGGTCTGTAGCGGATGCTGCAGCAGTCTGTAGTGGATGCTGCAGCGGTCTGTAGCGGATGCTGCAGCGGTCTGTAGCGGATGCTGCAGCGGTCTGTAGAGGATGCTGCAGCGGTCTGTAGCGGATGCTGCAGCGGATGCTGCAGCGGTCTGTAGTGGATGCTGCAGCGGTCTGTAGCGAAGCTGCAGCGGTTTGTAGCGGATGCTGCAGCGGTCTGTAGCGAAGCTGCAGCGGTCTGTAGCGGATGCTGCAGCGGTCTGTAGTGGATGCTGCAGCAGTCTGTAGTGGATGCTGCAGCAGTCTGTAGCGATGCTGCAGCGGTCTGTAGCGGATGCTGCAGCGGTCTGTAGCGGATGCTGCAGCAGTCTGTAGTGGATGCTGCAGCGGTCTGTAGCGGATGCTGCAGCGGTCTGTAGCGGATGCTGCAGCGGTCTGTAGTGGATGCTACAGCGGTCTGTTACAGAAAACTTGGAGATAGTTTCTTTGGTGACCCTTGACCTCTGAAGGCAGCAGGCTGAACCAGGAGCCCAGTCTGAACCGGATCACTTTATTAAAGGTGCAGTCTGTTTCCACTGATCCAAATTAAAACCTGAATTGTTTGCAGTTTCTCTCTCGTCTCGTCTGAAGACAAACTGGCTGCTAATTTTAGAGCAGAGCAGGAATAAAGCAGCTGTGACGGTTCAGATTTAAAGGGCCGGTTCTGTAACCGTTTATGGGTCAGGGATCCGGAGCGTGTGCCGACCGTCAACAGCTTGCTGTTCCATCCTGGCCACATGTGAGCCGCGCCTGGCAGTCAGAGATGAGGGCAGATAAACCCAGCCATGATTGGACCGTTATTATTCTATTCTATGTTTTGGTTTGTCGGGTTGTGAGTTTCGTGGAGGCGAGGCGAAACATGAATCGGATCAGAGGCGCTCGGTGCTTCGTATTGATTTACGGCCCAGAAGCAGCGCCGGCGCTAACATTAACTCACAGTTAGGTGATGTTTACATGTGAGCAGCTTTAACAGCCAAATCTGTAAAGATAATTCAGTAATTTTCAGTGAAATCTCCAGATTTCCACCTTTAGAGTGAAAACAGTTGAATTTCCTGCTTTTCCTCCACCAGCATTAAAATCTTCATGAAGGACAATTTGTTGCAGGCTGTTGCATTGTAGCTCCTGTCATGCTGCACTCCATCACTCTGTGTTTTGGTCAAGTGCAGCCTGGAGGTGTGTTTTGGCTCATAGTGCTGCTGAAAAAATAATGAGGTGCCATAAAGCTCCAAACAGGCAAGCTGGTCTCTGGCTGCGGGGCGTTGTGGATCCACGGCTCCAGATTTCCACTCGGCCGCTCCGCTCCGCTCCTCCCGTCTTCCCGGGTCGCTCCGCAGCGCTTCCTCTCAGCCGGTGTCACACACACTGACGTTTATCTGCTGCCAAAAGCTCTGAGAATCGTCCAATCAGCCTCCTTCCTGCTGAGTACCTCACAGAGAAACGGGCCGGGCTTTATCCATCGTTTATCATTCATCATGACAAATTTCTCATCATTGTCAGTAAAATCCAATTAATGCTCATTAAAAATGTGTGCATTGTTGGGATTTGAAGTTTTTATATTTTTTCCACTGTTCAATAAGAGCATCAAACATTTTTATCCATCCATCCCCACTGGACCCACTGGATCCATTGGACCCACTGGTCCCAAAGTGGGTCAGGAGGTTCTGCTGCTTCTCCACTAACGTTCTGGGTGAGAGGCGGGGTCACCTCTCAGGTCACCTCGCTGTCACATAAAAGATTTTTAACTATAACTAAATGTTATTTCTGTGTGCAGTAAATCAAACTTCTTTATGTGGTCGATGTCCTAAATGAGGATTTTCTGTCTGAGCAAAAACAGTTGAAAAACGTTTTTTAAAAGTCCAGAAAATATTCACCAGTCGTGAACTTGCACTAAATTCCCACAGAGGACAGAAAAATGACTGAAAACCTCAGAACTCCAGCAGACTCAGCTAGCAGGTTAAAGGCTAAATGTCATAAAATCTGTTCAAACCAACATGGCAGCTCGAGTGAAGCTAGCAAACATCTGGAACATCAACGAGTGGAGATGTTTCAGCGCCATGTTGGGAGAAAACCAAACACAACATACCGTCTGCCAGGCACGGTGGTGGAGGAGTGGTGATGCGGGCTCAGGAGCCAGACACATCACCTAAGTTTAGTGTTTCACTACAGCTTCGCCTCAACAATCATCCCAACAGAACGGCTGTAAATGAGACCAACATGCTGCAGCGGTCCAGTCAAAGTCCAGGTGTCTGACAGATTAAAATTAGTAGAGACATTTATGACGAAGGCAAATGATGATACTGGGCTGAAAATGTTGGAATCAGTTCATGATGTGGAAATGATCAAAATGGTTTTTATATTTAACCCTGTTTGCCATCGGTTAGCGAGCTGTGTTAGCGAGCTGTGTTAGCTAGCTGTGTTAGCGAGCTGCGTTAGCGAGCTGTGTTAGCGAGCTGTGTTAGCAAGCCGTTTTAGCTAGCTGTGTTAGCGAGCTGCATTAGCAAGCTGTGTTAGCGAGCTGTGTTAGCGAGCTGTGTTAGCTAGCTGCGTTAGCGGGTTGCGTTAGCAAGTTGTGTTAGCAAGCTGTGTTAGCGAGCTGCGTTAGTGAGCTGTTTTAGCTAGCTGTGTTAGCGAGCTGCGTTAGAGAGCTGTGTAGCGAGCTGCGTTAGCAAACTGTGTTAGAGGTTAGCAAGCTGTGTTAGAGGTTAGCAAGCTGCATTAGAGGTTAGCGAGCTGTGTTAGCTAGCTGTGTTAGCAAGCTGTGTTAGCAAGCTGTGTTAGCTAGCTGTGTTAGCGAGCTGCGTTAGCGAGCTGTGTTAGCGAGCTGTGTTAGCGAGCTGTGTTAGCAAGCTGTTTTAGCTAGCTGTGTTAGCAAGCTGCATTAGCAAGCTGTGTTAGCGAGCTGTGTTAGCTAGCTGCGTTAGCGGGTTGCGTTAGCAAGTTGTGTTAGCAAGCTGTGTTAGCGAGCTGCGTTAGCGAGCTGTTTTAGCTAGCTGTGTTAGCGAGCTGCGTTATAGAGCTGTGTTAGCGAGCTTGTTAGCAAGCTGTTTTTGCTCCAGAATTAGCTTCAGGAGAAATGAGCCACATTTTATCTGACATCAATTATGATTCCAGCTGAGACAGAACAAACAAAGTTTAGTTCAACCTAAATGCCCTCTGACCTCTAAAGCATCAGCTTTCAGGGAACAGAGTCACGTGACTCCTGCTTGTTTCCAAAGAGTGAAGTTAATGGCGCTGCTGTCAGTAAATGAAATAGGCTAATTGCATGTGACGTAAAAAAGGTTTTTTGTTGTGAAGCATAAAAACAAAACAATGACTGACTCTGAGCTGTTGGATGAAACCAGTTTGAATGAGACGCGTCGATTTGGACCAGGCAGCAGAATCACAGCTTCCTGCGTTTTGATCGGAACATTTCAGACATTTCATTAAAAGCTCAGGAAACGATGTGATAATCTATCACCTTTAAACAACCTGAAGTGAGTAATTCATCAGAGAGAGAGCCTCCCCCCTCCTCCTCCGGCCGCCGCCTCCTCCTCCTCCTCTTCCTCACTCCCCCTCTCTCACTGCCAGCCGGTGCTGCAGTGGATCAGTCGCAGCTCCGCCGCCTCCTGCCTCCCTGCTTCCCGCTTCATCTCCTGGAAAACGGCGGCGTTAAAAAAAACCCGGGGGGGAAATGTGTGTCTCTCCGCCGCTTCGCGCTCCATCTGTTTCCTCCATCTGCGGCCGTCGCTCCGCGCTCCTCTGACCCGCGTCCTCTGCGCGGACTCCGAACCGACCGAACCGAATCGAACCGCGCTTCGCTTCGCATCGCAGCATTTTTTCATCCTGCGTAGAAAAGGAAAAAGTCGTGAGGACTGAAAACGCGCAGCTCTGTTTCCAACACAGATCGCGTTTTTTCTTTTCTGATCTTTTTTTTACGGAGTCTGAGGATGCGCGGAGTCGGAACCGTCCAGAGATGAGAACCAGAACCTGGGTTTGTTTTCAGCTCGAGTCGTTTGGAGGCGACCAGGACGAACCGGGTCAACATCACCATGTTCCCCCCAGCAGATCCATAAGCTGATCAGGTCGTTCAGTGAGACGCGCGTCATTCATCCAAACTCCGTCCTGCTCCGGACACGTGTTGACTCTCCAAACCTCCAGATCCGGTTCTGATCGGTTCTGAAGCCTCCTAACCTGCGCCTGGCTCGCCCCGCTGCGGCTCGGCTCGGTTCGGTTCGGTTCGGCTCACCTTGAACCATGCAGCTGGCGTCCCATGCCCTCCCCGTGTGAGCCGCGCGTCCCGCGGACATGCCGCGCTCCTCCGCTCCGCTCTCATCCTCCTTCTCCTCTGGCCTCGGCCGTCTGCAGGGAAGAAGAAGCTGTACATCGGAGCTCTATTCCCCATGAGCGGCGGCTGGCCGGGCGGCCAGGCGTGCATGCCGTCCGCTCAGATGGCTCTGGACCTGGTGAACAACAGGAGCGACATCCTGCCGGACTACGAGCTGGAGCTCATCCACTACGACAGCATGGTGAGTGGATGTGCAGGAGAGCAGAGGAGGCGCTGCTCTTAAGTGGAGTGTGTTGTCAGAGGGAGCTGCAGCCGCTCCTGTCATCTTCTGATCTGACATCACGTCTGACCCGATGCCTCCTGTTTTGGTCCAGTTTGCAGGAGTTGTGTTTGTGCCAGAGCCTGCTCCCTGCAGGGCTCCTCACTCACCTGATCTGTATGGAAGAAGCTTTAGTCCACTTTCCAAAAATAAAAATATTCATTGAAGCAATTAGGACAGATTCCTTTTTAGAAGGTTTTATAATTGTTGGACAGATGGGAGCCAATAATGGATAAATAATAGTTTTAAACAATCTTCTACTCTGTTGGTTCAAGTTTTTAATCACTTAAACACTAAAATAAACCAGTTTGATATGTTAGCTTGTTTTTTAGCTCCTTCATTTGTCTTTTAAATAAAATGATCAGTGACCTTGACCTACAGGTCTGGAATGAAAATGTTTATTTAACTCAACAATTTTTCAACTCTTCAAATGTATTTCTGTCTTAAATTCATATTTACAAAAAATTATGACTGTTATGTTAATAGATTTTACCCAACTAATCTTCATCTCTAATACAGATTCACTCTATTAATATTTGACTTACTAACTTTACGGTTGTCCTGAGGCGCCATCTTGGTGGTTTCTGGGTGGAAGTGGGCTGAAGTGGACCCGGCTCCTCGCAGCCGAGTTAGTGAGAATTATGAAGTGGTTCATGTAGTTGTCAGCTGGAGTCTGTAGCCGAACTGCAGAGACTGCAGCTGCTCATTCATGCAGCTTCATGGAAAATGTCTCAAAATAAATTCATGTTAATAGCTTAACGTTGAAATCTGTGAAAAATTAAAGTGGTGCAAATATTTAGTGAAAATGACACTGAAATGCATCACAATCCATTTGCGTGTGGAAAAAAATTGGATGTGAAGCTGCAGGAACCCTGGTGGCTCCTAAAGGTCACAGTTCAGACAGTGAAGCTGCTGCCCCCCTGCTGGGCTGGATCGCTGTAAATGAGCAAACCCACCTCCCGCTTGTCGCTCATCAATCATTTATCATGTTGGTATTTTAAAAATGTCACCATTATAAATGAAATATCCGACCCCAGGAGGCGCTGACTCTCTCTGGGTTTGGCTCTCGGTGCTGCTCTTCCTGGAGGTTTGATGCGTTTTGTGAGCAGCAGAATGAGAGCAGATGCGTTAAAAGCAGGCTGATGCCCCGCCCCGCCCCGCTCTGCCCAGGCTTGTTACCCATCATGCTGCGGGACAGATGCCTGGAGAGCTGCAGGCCGAGGCAGCAAACGGTTAACGGCGCTGGTTAGAAATCCGCTACGAGCTTTTTTCTGATTGGTGCACACAGCTCTGCATTGGAATCCTGTTAAACAGCAGAGCAGGGAGGGAGAGGAGTGTGTGTCAGTGTGTGTCAGTGTGTGTCAGTGTGTGTTAGTGTGTGTCAGTGTGTGTTAGTGTGTGTCAGTGTGTGTCAGTGTGTGTCAGTGTGTGTCAGTGTGTGTTAGTGTGTGTCAGTGTGTGTTAGTGTGTGTCAGTGTGTGTCAGTGTGTGTGTGAAGGGGAGAGCGGGAGGGTTGGCATGGCAACACTCTCGAAGCGAACGGCGTTAACAAACAAGCTCCAGCTCTGTGACAATATGTGCAAATTCATACAGGAGATGCTGGGAGGACGCGGCATCCTGATCCACCTCGTTCCTTCCAATCAAACACTAAACAGATGAAATATGGTGGTGTGTGTGTGTGTGTATGTGTGTGTGAGTGTGTGTGTGTGGTGTGTGAGTGTGTGTGTGTGTGTGAGTGTGTGTGTGTGTGTGTGTGTGTGTGTGTGTGTGTGTGTGTGAGTGTGTGTGTGTGTGTGTGTGTGTGTGTGTGTGTGAGTGTGTGTGTGTGTGTGTGTGTGTGTGTGTGTGTCCTCTGATTAAATGTGCTGCTTCACTCTGAACTGCCATGAAAATAAAGACAAAGGTGGTGGGGATCTCCAGGGTTGGGGAACATGGCTGCTGCTGCGCCTGCGGCTGCAGGAATGAACCTGCAGAGAGGAGAGATGCTGGTTCAGGTGAAAGCAGCTGATGTTTAATGAACTCTCGGATTAATTAGCTCTCCACGTGTGCGTGTTTGTTGAAGCGTTGTCCATGTTTACCTGCTTTCACGTTGAAGGCTTATAAACTTTTCTTCCTCCTTCTTGTCTGTCTGTGTGAAAGACGCATTGAGTCTGGCTTGTTTTAGCAAACAGGAGTGAAGGAAAACACACCCACGCGAGTATTTTGTGACCATTAAAGGCCGAGAGTGTGGAGCTTGTTCAACATCATCCAATATTCATGAAGCTCCACGTTTAATCCCAGCCTGTCCTCTTAAATGGATGCAGATACCCTGTGGTAGCAGAGCGCCGCGTTTCCACGGTTATTCTGGTGACAGCGTCAGACTATTTACAGCCTTCTGTGATCCCAACACACACACACACACACACACACACACACACACACACACACACGCACGCACACACACACACACACACACACACACACACACACACACACCACACACACACAGAGAGAGACACACACACACACACACACACACACACACACACACACACAGAGAGAGACACACACACACACACACACACACACACAGAGACACACACACTCACACACACACACACACACACACACACACACACACACACACACACACACACACACAGAGACACACACTCACACACACACACACACACACACACACACACACACACACACACACACACACACACACACACACAGAGACACACACACTCACACACACACACACACACACACACACACACACACACACACAGAGACACACACTCACACACACACACACACACACACACACCACACACACACACACACACACACACACAGAGACACACACACACACACACAGACACACACACACACACACAGAGACACACACACACACACACACACACACACACGCACACACACACACATACAGAGACACACAGAGACACACACACACACACACAGAGACACACAGAGACACACACACACACACAGAGACACACAGAGACACACACACACACACACACAGAGACACACAGAGACACACACACACACACACACAGAGACACACAGAGACACACACACACACACACAGAGACACACAGAGACACACACACACACACACAGAGACACACAGAGACACACACACACACACACACACATGAGCTGCGTTTCGCTCGCTCTCCACACAGGGCCGTTGCCATGGATATATCAAAGCGGAGACTGCAAACTTTGATCAATTATTAACAGTGATGATGATGATGATGATGATGATGATGATGATGATGATGATGATGATGATGAGACAGTGGCGACGCAGAGAGATGGAGGAACAAGGTGCTTCCTTCACGTCTGACTCTTCATTTAGCTGGCAGCTGTGGCACAGATTGCTGTGGCCCCCCAGCCTCCCTCCTGCCCCCAGGCCCCCCAGTGCCCCCCAGCCTCCCTCCTGCCCCCCCAGGCCCCCAGCCCCCCATCCTCCCTCCTGCCCCCCCAGGCCCCCAGCCCCCCAGCCTCTCTCCTGCCCCAGGCCCCCAGCCCCCAGCCCTCGGCTCGGTGTTGCGAGGTTCGTTCCCCTTCCAGACGGGCCTGAATCAGGATTCCTTTCTTCTCCGTCTCGTTATTCGATTGGATTGTGAGTTTAATCACAGAAAGTTTCGGTCTGCAGAGTAAAGCAAGAATTACACGTCCAAGTTTGAAATCAGTGTGGATTTCATGCTCATATAAATACAATGGCTGCTGCTCATGTTTGGTAAAATCTCACAGCCTTTAACTTTCTATGCAGTTCTGCTTGATTCTCATCTCCCTCCATGTGGGATTCCTCCCATTGACCTTGATTTGTGAACAATGATGTTTTTGTTCTGTTTTTAATTATAATCTGCCCATTCAGCAAATTCAGCAGAGGCTCCAGATGAGCCACCGAGGAATGTTGAAAACATTTTATTGCTAACAGACGTAACTCTGTGAGCATTAGAGTTACAGCTCTAATGGTTTGTTTTAATGGTGGAACTGGTGCATTACAAACATCACAGCCAAATGTTAACCACTGTTGACGTTTGAATCGATGGATCAGATTTTACCCAGAGTTCACTTCTCCAGGAAACGATCTCTGAACAGCTGAGGGTCCAGACCTCCTGGACGAAGCAGGGGTTGACCTTGGGTCGGTCCCAAGGTCGATCCCTGAGGGCCGCATCCTGCATGGTTTAGTTCTCTCCCTGATTTAACGCCCCTGGATCCAATGATGGCTCGTTAGAGAAGAACGTTCTGAAAGGCTTGTCCCTTCCACAAGGAGAGACGAGAGCATGCAGGGTGCCGGCCCTCAGGGACCCACTTGGGGACCCACTTGGGGACCCCCGGCGTAGAACAAGAGGGTGATTTTCAGCAGGCTAACCTCCACCAGACACTTCTGAGACGATCCTGCTGGGCTCTTCAATAAACCAGAGGAGTTTTTTCAACTGGATTTTCACCTCAGCGCTGAACAGGGATGAGGTTGAAGGTTTTCCAGGACCTGCGATCCATCAGACTTCTGGCTTTCTGGCAATAGAAAGCTGGAGCAGGTTCCACCCTGGATGGAGGAGAAAGAGGCGGCTGCTCTGAGCGGCTCCTGATTGGCTGCGGCGGGCGGCACAAACACAGACGGCATCAGGTGCTGCGGCGGCCCGGTTGGGCTTGAAGTGGAAGCGATGACGACCCTGGAGAGCCGCGTGAGGACGGAGCGGCAGAGACGCTGCAGGCTCCGGCGCCGTTACCTCCGGCCACGTTTATTCACTCCTCCGGTGAAAATGCTTCAGATAAATCCATATTTTAACATCCTGGAAAAAAGAAAAAAATCCAACATTTGATTCGAAAACATTAATAAATAATTGATTTTGGTCAAATCAATGCTGGAACAATTATCAGCAGCCTTAAGTTCAGGTTCAGTTCCTCCATTCAGCTCACTCCTACAGGGGGCGCTGCAGAGCTTCATTAGCTTCAATGTGCTACAAACAAAATACTGAAAAATAAATTTGCAGGAGGATAAAGAGATGGACAGCGAGGAGAGGAGTGCAGCTCTGACTGCAGCTGCAGTCCGAAGCGCCGGATTCTCCAGTCGTCAAACTGTCATCACTTGGATGTCGTCTCAATGTCCCCATGCAGTCACTGATGTTGCCACACTTTTTCCTTCCACTTAACTTTCCGTAAAATGCTGGATAGAAGCACTGGGCCGTCTTCTCTGCGGTTCTGCAGCTCATAAAGTTTTGAACAGACTTTGTTGGTCTGGTGTGATATGATTTCATTGACTTCAGCTCAGCTGGAGTCCTTCAGGTTCTGATGATACTCATCTGGACCCGAGTTGAACATTCCCGTCCTGATCGTCCCAGATCCTGTGTCTGTCCGGTTTTCTGTCCGGTTGGAGGCGTTTGTCGGATCAGCAGGGCCCGGTGGGGGTCATGTGCCAGGCGTGACCTTCACCTTTGACCTTGCACCGTTTTCTCTCTGCGTCCCGTTGTGCGATGCTGTGTTTGAGCGATTGTTTCTGAGGTGACGACTGAGGCGTTTTAAAGCCTGTTAAGGAGAAACGCGCTCGCTGCTTATTGAGTTTGCCACCCAGTAAAATGCTTCTTCTGACTAATGTGAGTCATGACGTTTTCCCTGCAAACATTCGACTGTAATGACCCTTTTTTTGAAACTGCAGCTCTGCAGCCGAGCGTTGCTCCGGATCCATGTAAATAGTCTGCAGTTAATGTGTTTTTTATGCAGGAAAATTGTCTTGACTAAACATGTAGAGGGCTAATGGCTGTTTGTCTTGGTTTGGATGTTTTAATAACCTCTACAGGACCAGAAGCTGCACTTCTTGATTAAATTCTCATTTCTACATGTTATAATCAGCGAGTCATTTGGAATGCTGATTAAAACAAGCTGCTATTAAAACCTGTAATCTGCTATGGTGGTGATGGATTGATGAAATAATTTGAAGATAATTAGCGCGGGCGATGAAGTACTGCTCATCAGAGTGAAGTTAAGACTCTGAAACAGCAGAAAACTAACAAGCAGGTTCTCAGCGTGCAGCCGGCCCGCAGAACACAAACAACCTCGGGAATCAGAGTGTTTAGAAAGCTCTCCGAGTCGATCTGCACGCTCCTCGCTGAACACGACGCTGCCGAGGAACCGAACTGCGCGCCGGGCCGAGCCGAGCTGGGCCTGGCCGAGCCGGGCCGAGCCGGGCCGAGCCGGGCCGAGCCGAGCCGAGCCGAGCCGAGCCGGGCCTGGCCCGGCTGCAGCCGCGCTTCCCGCTGCTTATCTTAGAAAAGAGGAGACGGGAAAATCAGTGGAATCAGCCGCAGCTGATTGACTGAGAGAAGCTCTCCTCTCCCACTTTACATAAACATTCTTATTAATATTAATGCTCTTATCCGAGTGATTAAAAACAGCTCAGTCCATGATTAAATATAGACTCAGAAGTTTCACAACTGAACTAATCAGTTAAAGGATTCAGATTGTGAGGATTGGTGGGAAGTGAAGCGGCTTTAAAAGTGTCTCTTCCTGCCATCTGCTGCGCTCCTCAAGAGGAAAGTTTCTCTGCTAATTACTAAGCTAAACAGAGGTGCCTTAACTCCCACCCACACGTATTTATAGTCAGATCCTGAAACTCGGCTACTTTCTGGGGCCGCTTGAACCTTCCAGCGCTCAGTCAGTCTGTCTGAACACAGACAGAACCGCTGCAGACGTGGAGACCTGCAGCAGAGAGCTGAGCTAAGTTTGCTCCAAATAGAGAAATGAACTCATTTGAAACATCAAACTGAACTAACCTGTGAAAGTTTAACCACCAACACGCCTTTAAACTGTTAAAATAGAAAACAGGAAATGAGAGATCTGACGTTCAGACATCAATTCAGTTCAGTTTATTCATGTAGCACCAACTTACAGCCAGCGTCGTCTCTTTAATCCAGTCACACAGTAAATGATTCCAGTTATCACTTCATTAAAATGAAAAACGTTTGTATCCAGCAGAGCGTGGCGTCGTCGGCCTGCAGCTCTCACTCCTCCTGCTGAGAACGGCGCGTTGATGTTGACTTTACAGTAACGCCTCACACCCTGCATGCATGTGGTGACAGTGGAGAGGAAAAACCTCCAGCAGAACCAGAACCTGCTCCATCAGATCATCCAGGACGACACAGAGGATCTAAACCAGAATACAAAGATTTGGTACAAAATGGTGATGCTAAATGCGTCGGCTAAATAAATAAGTAAAACATTTGAATTAACCGCTGATGTTTTTCGCTCCAGCCGAGCGTTGCTCCGGATCCATGTAAATAGTTCTGATTCCAGATCTGGTTTCTGCTGTCTCTGCCTCCTGTCAACATTTTCTCTAAAGTTTCTCTTTTCCTGCTTCATTTTCTTAAACGCTGTCTTCATTTACAATCTAATAAATGTAATTTTTATAACTTATTTCAAAGACACAAAAATACAAATTCATCAACAATTAAAACATTAAATTTCACCAAGAGCATCAAAATGTTGATTAATGCTTAATTTATTATGTTTCAAAAGCAACTCTGAACAGATTAGTTTGAATTTAAAGGAACTCAATGTTCCGGCTGATTTGCAGTTTTCTGAAAGTTTGTTCTAGATTTTTGGTGCGTTTCCGTTTCATTTGATTCATTTAGATTTGCAGGACTTTAACTGCTCTATACTTCATTAAGTTCATCTCATTTAAAGCAAAACTTCTTTGCTTACTGCTAACACTGTCTGGAGGAGGGAACAGCAGATTCATATCTGATGACTGAGAAACAGAATGATGTGATTTACTCTTCAGTAAAACGTGCGCTGCCTTCAGAAAGCAGAGAAATGATTTTTCATGACTTTCTGTTTTCACTGATAACTGCAGGGATTTTGCTGAGAGTCTCGTTGAAGCGTTTTGAATCGGCTCCTTCAGGCTCATGTGTTGTGATGAAGTGCAGCTCTTCCATGTAACCACAGCTCATCATTTGCAGACATGAATTCAGGCTGATCACTGCGGCCACTTGTGCTCCACGCCAGACCGCGCAGCTGCTTTGGCTTCCCCTGTGGGAGCCGTCAGGTCCTCCGCGCCGCGTTCGCTCGATCATCCAAACGCTCATCAGATCCACAGTCACGACTCCACTTCCAATCAGCTCCTGCTTTCTCCCAACAAATGAGGATTTTCTGGACAAACAAGCAGCTGCAGCGACCCGTGGTCAGCTGAACGCGGCTCTGACGGCTTCAAACTCACCACAGCCTGCAAGAGTTTTCACTGTATTGAACTGTGGTTGAAACGATGAAGAATATTCCTTCTGGACCGCCCCGGTAGGAATCCTGACCCAGTTTGATTAAAAGCTGACAGGAAACATCTGGACCCAGCGGACGGGTTTTTAACTTTTTGTCATAATTCTTCTATTTTATTGAATTTTGTTTAAACAGTGAAAGTGAAGAGAGATGGGCTTTAAATTGGGAGCTGATTCTCCTTAATGGATCAGAATGATCTAATAGCTTGTCGGCTCCTTGACTCAGTCTGCCATGAGACGCAGCCTGAGAGTTAATGAACAACCAGCCGCTGAATACCAATCACAGTCCCTCCGCTCGGGCCCCCTGCTGCTAACCGCAGGGTCCGGGGGCCGCTGGGGGCCCGCGCCGAGGCCGGCTGGGGGGCCGGATGTGTTTTTTGTCTCAGACGTCATGTGAGTGGGTTTTGAAGCGTTCCTCTCTGATCCCGGTGATGGATCGCCGGCATCGTTTCCTTTTCCCGGATGTGTCGTAAACGACTTCATGGAGGGTGTAACTGTGTGAGGGCGGCGCCGCCCCATCGGGTCGCCTCTGTCTGCCTGCTGCCTCTCATGGTCTGGAGTCAGAACCGTGGATTTAATGTTGCTGTCAGGATGAAAATGTGACGCTTGTTTTTCTTAGTTTTACATTTTTATCACTTTGTTTGTGAATCCTGCATCTGTTTCTTCTATTTCCAGTTTTTCTTCCACTTGTGATGTCGCAGTTTTTAAGGCAGCTGCCAGCTCCCTTTATCTTCATCCTCTCATTCCTCATTCTGCCTCTTTGTTTCTCCCTTTTTATCTCTCCGTCGGTCTTATCTTTTCTATTTCTGGTCCTGATCTAAACGCATTTGTTTTGTCCTTGCAGTGCGACCCGGGGGAGGCAACCAAGCTGCTGTACGACCTGCTCTACACCGAACCCATCAAGATCGTCCTGATGCCCGGCTGCAGCGGCGTCTCCACGCTGGTGGCCGAAGCCGCCCGCATGTGGAACCTCATCGTGGTGAGTGGTTCTGTGGTCCTGTGGTTCTGTGGTTCTGTGGTTCTGCGGTTCTGTGGTTCTGCGGTTCTGCGGTTCTGCGGTTCTGCTGTTCTGCTGTTCTGCGGTTCTGCGGTTCTGCGGTTCTGTGGTTCTGCGGTTCTGTGGTTCTGTGGTTCTGCGGTTCTGCGGTTCTGCTGTTCTGCGGTTCTGCGGTTCTGTGGTTCTGCGGTTCTGCGGTTCTGCGGTTCTGTGGTTCTGAGGTTCTGTGGTTCTGCGGTTCTAAAGTTTCTTCCTCTAGTACGTTTCTCCAGGATCTTTAGACTTTATTCTGTTTATTTCCACCATTCGATTCTTTCTTGCTGCCGTTACAAATTTAAAAGTTTCCACTAATAAGTCATCACGCCATCATCACGCCATCGCCTCATTGTATCATCATATCATTGTATCATCATATCATTGTATCATCATATCATTGTATCATCGTATCATCGTATCATTGTATCATTGTATCATCGTATCATTGTATCATCGTATCATTGTATCATCATATCATTGTATCATCATATCATTGTATCATCGTATCATTGTATCATCATATCATTGTATCATCGTATCATTGTATCATCATATCATTGTATCATCGTATCATCGTATCATTATATCATCGTATCATTGTATCATCGTATCATCGTATCACTGTATCATCGTATCATCGTATCATCGTATCATCGTATCATCGTATCATTGTATCATCATATCATCGTATCATCGTATCATCGCGTCACGGCGGATAAGTTTTATAGTTTTAGTAAATTTACTGCAGAGTTTTTGGAGAGTTTTTACTGGAACATATTTTAATGTTGTTTCATCAAATCCCAGATTCCAGCGCGATGGTGAATCTGGAACGGAATAAAAATCAGTTGAAACTCAGTGAAAGTTATAATATTCATAAATTTAGTTTTTGTTTAATGATTATATAAAAATATTACTTTGATTGTAAGTTTTTACTTTGTCACACAGATTAATTTAACTTAATTCATTGAGATTAATGTGTAAAATTATCACCAGTGTGAAATGCTGCTTTTTCTCCCGGGGCAGATCTCCACCCTGGTAGGCTGGGGCAATAAAAGCCTCCAGGTTGGGGCAGGTAGGGGCAATAAAAGCCTCCAGGTTGGGGCAGGACAGGGCAATAAAAGCCTCCAGGTTGGGGCAGGTCGGGGCAATAAAAGCCTCCAGGTTGGGGCAGGACGGGGCAATAAAAGCCTCCAGGTTGGGGCAGGTCGGGGCAATAAAAGCCTGCAGGTTGGGCAGGTCGGGGCAATAAAAGCCTCCAGGAAGCATCCCCCGTTCCAGTCGCTGTGTGTAGAAATTACAACAGGAAGTAAATGTCACCCTGGTAAAGTTATATCTGCGAATGCAGCTTCTGCTTCAGGCTGTATGAATATTAATGTGAACCTTATAGTTTTGCACCAATTTTTATTGGTTCTTATTTATTTTAGTCATAAAATGTTTTATGTTTGTCTGTCTGGTAAGGTTTATCTCTGGTCTGTTAATAATCCCAAAGAATCGTTGTTGATGCTGCTTTATGGAAGTAGTGAAGGGATTTGATCATTTTCTAGATTAAAAACTTTCTTATGCCTTGCCATATTCACACTTAGCTCATTATTGCTCAACAGGTCTTGCCATATACAGTTTATTATTATTGATGCGCTGGTCTTTCCGTAAATCCTCATCATTTCTTTAGTTTCTTCATTTTTCTTGAGTTCTTTGTTTTGTGTTTTCTTTGATCAGCTTTGGTCTCTGCTTGGTTTTATTATTATTATTATTATTATTATTATTATTATCATTATTGTCATTATTATAATTATTGTTGTTATTATTATTGTTAGAGTTCTTCATTTTGCTCTTGTTTTCGTTCATACAGCTGCTTCCTGTTTCCAATTAGCTGTCCGTCTTGTCGTCCGTCCCGTCTGTCTGTCTGTCTGTCTGTCTGTCCGTCTGTCTGTCTGTCTGTCTGTCCGTCTGTCTGTCTGTCTGTCTGTCTGTCTGTCTGTCTGTCCGTCTGTCCGTCTGTCTGTCTGTCTGTCCGTCCGTCTGTCTGTCTGTCCTTCTCGGTGTTTAAGCTTCTTATTTTCTGCTCTTTGCCTCTAAACTCTCCAGACTCGAGTTTCTTCTGGTTTTTCGGTTCTTTGGATCTTATTTAAATTTTTTGATTGAAATTTCATCATCACCATCAAAGTCCATCCTTAAAACATATAATAATTAAAATTTTAAATTAAATGTTGATACCAAAGCATTGACTTAATTTGAAAGAATTATTTGATACTAATACATAATCATTAAAAGCAATAATATGTAATCAGGCAACTTTAGCCTTAAAACACATTTTGTAAAATAAAGAAAAATAAAATAAAAATAATCCAAATTAAAAAAAGCAAATATTATTTAGTTAAAACATTCACACCAAAAACAGTCCAGACAAAAATAAACCTGTATGAATAAATAAATCAAACCTGTACAGAAACAGCTGAACCTGGATCAGATTTATTCTGCTGGTTGCAGGACAGCGTCGCTCAGATCAGCTTCATGTTGATGATTTTTTATTTGTTGCTCATTTTTTGCTTGAATAGTTTTTTCGGGGCCATTTTTCCCTTCGGTTCTGAAGGACTTTGACTTTTTAACTTTCAGACAAAAATAATAAATAAATGCAAAATCATATCCCCTACTCCAACATCACTCTAATCATACAGCCGGAGATCTAAAGGGGAGCGGCAAAAGCAAAGGATGTTGATTAGCAGAGCTGATGATGTCATGCAGACATGTTCCTGTGGGGTCGACTCTGCAGCCGGGTCGTTGAGCCGTTAGACGTCAAACAGCCGCTGCTGCATTTTCATCGTAAATCTGCACAAAAGTTTAATATAATGTTGAAAAAACAAGAGCAATGGTTCCGTTTCTGTTGCCTAAGAAACTCAATTAAACTCACAGGTGATTAAGTTTAAATCATCCTCCTACCACTTCCTGCCTCCGTCGTTTCTCCAGCATCATGTGAGTTTCTGTTGCAGTTTTGTGGCATAAACCAAGCAGCCAAAAACAAACTCCTCCCCCTGCAGAGCCGAAGCCTTTTGCACAAACAAGATTTGTAAAAACCTGCCGTGTTTCTAATAAGTGAAATCATTTTTAATTGTGCAGCTTAGAGACGGATGGAAGCAGATCCTTCCTGCTGCAGGATGTCGGCTCTGTGACGACGTTCACATATAAATTCACTTCCCTTTGGAGTAAATAAAGGATTTAAAGTTGAAGGATTTTCCGGCTCATATTTCAGGATTCAACCATGAAATTCTTCACCGATGTGAAAGTCAGCTTTTTGCTTATTTTCCACTAATTGCTCTAAAATCCACCAATCAATGCCCGGCTGTTTCATTGATTAAAACATGTTTCTGACTGCACCTTTAATTATTGCAGCGGCTCTTCTGTCCGGGACAGAACTCATCGTTTAGCCTCCAACAACACAAGAGCTGCTTGTTTCCTCTCAGCTCTGGAGATCTGCAGCGTCTCTGAGTTTCAGTTCGCCTCTTTCCGCGCCGCTCGGCTCGTTATCGTTGTCCCATAATTGACGTTTCATCCACAGATTAGTCAGTGAGAACAATCAGCTCAAGAGTTTGGCTTCTGCCCTCTTTCCTGTTTCTGGTCTTTGTCTGTTTCCTCATCATTAAAAACTCTTTCCACTGGCTGACTTGCTCTTTTTCCTCCTTTTCTTTGTGGGTTTGTCGCTGCCTGGAGCTGGTCTTCTCTTTGTCATCTCTGTCTCATTTCTTCACCCCTCTCCCTGCCTCCCCGCCGCCTCCCCGCCGCCTCCCTCTCTCTGTTTCACCCGCCTTCGTTTCCGTCTCGGCTGCAGCGGCAGATTCTCCCCGCAGAAGAAAGGATCCGTCTGTCTTTACTCCAGGCCACTGCTGGCGTAACCTCCCAGCCGTCATGCTGTTGTCTCTGCCTGCGGCGGCCCGGCCCACGGCGACCGGTCCGGATCACAGAGGTCGTTAACTCGATCCCGTTTCTTTCTGTTCCTGGAAGGAGCCGGGTCCTCAGAGATCTGAGGGACTTGCATCTTTTCTCGCCTGCTGCTGCTTTATTTGTGCCTCCCTGTTGAACTGTTGCCATCAGAAAGGCTTAAACTCGGTTATTTTGGGTTTTGACACAAATAAAATAGTTCTGCTCTTCCAGGTTCGGCCCTAAATAAGCCGCAGAGTGACTTTAAAGCATCCGGAACATATTTCCTCTCCTGCTCCTGCGGTAGTTTGGTCTTTTTTGTGATTTATGTGGGATGGGAACCCAGAGCCGGTTAGCAGCTTTAACACTCCAGATAATTTATCGTAATGACTTTAATATTCTCCTTAGTCATCCTCTGCTGAAACTCAGACTAATTTATGAAGAGCTGACAGAACCCCAGATGAGTTGTGCCGACGTTTCTTCCTCCGGTCGCCGGTTCAGGAAGTTGTTTGACTGGAGGGCGGATGCTGAGAAGCGCTTGCATCTCTCTGAACTTTGACCTCTGCATCAGTTTGGCTGTGGCTTTATCTCGGATCGGAGTAAAACAAAACGGGCTGCAAGGCGGCGCGATGCTGGCGCTGTTGCCTAGCAACAAGAAGGTTGGGTTTTGAATCTTGACTGAAAAATATTGAAGAATTGACCTGAGAAACCACAGCAACATCCATCCATCCAATAAATATCTGTTTGTTTTCCTTCATACTGATATGAACATTGTCAGTGTTGTTGGTTCTGCTCTCTTGCATTGATTTGTTTGAATTTCTGATTGATTGTGTTTCTGTTGAAATCCAGTAACTGGGTTAGGCAGCGATCCAGTGGTTCTGGATCGCTGCTGGTCTGCTGCATCTTTTAGGGCTTTATTTTCTAAAGATGTGATTCTCCAGCTGATATTTCTATGACTGTAGATTATTAAACCATAAAACAGGCTTTCCTCTGTGCTTAGGAAGTTTTATAAATATGAATCTTCCATTGATTGAACGTTTGAGTGGGCAATAATCAGCCTTATTTGTTTGTGGAGGTTTGATTTAAACAGCATCACACGCTGGGTGATTTGTTCTCCTTTCTCTCTGAAGCCGATCTCTTCCTCCTCTCCTTTCCTCCACATCCGTTGTTTCTGCCTTCATTTCCTCCTTCCTCTGTATCGATTCTTCCATCTACCTGCCTCTGCCTGCAGGGATTTGTTTCTTTGGGGAGCCCACAACGTACCGGACATGTGACATCCATCAGCGCCCCTCTGGCTGCCGCTGGTTAAAACCCAGTGGGTTTATGGGTAATGGGGCCGGAGCCGTTTCGCTCCCTAATGGTTCCTGAACAGGTTCTGCGTTTTAAAGAAAGACCTGTCAAGGATTTTATCTCCAGTGGTTGCTGTGGAAGTGTTTGATGGGAGGACCGTCGCCGCGTCCGGACGGACGGCGGCGCCGGTCCGGAGGAAGAACCGGATCAGTTCTTCATTTCTCTCTAATAAACCCATCTCAGTGCCTCAGCTTCATGGGGGCATCTGCATGAGAAATCTTGCAGGGAATGTTTGGTTTTTAATCACAGTTAAAGACTTTGTTGGCACATTTTATTAAATTGAGAGATGCTAAAAAGAGGAAGAAGAGACGATTTGGTGTTTCTGAGCCGACTGCAGACGAAATGCAACATATAAACGTCCAAACTGAGAAGCTTGTGGTTCATTTTACTTTTAAATTTAAGCACAATGCAACAGTTCTGTAAAAACCGATTAAATGGCTGAGAGTATATCACCAAATATAAAAAATAAGTACATCCTCTGACTGCAGGGCTGGAAGAGATGATCTGGTTTTTATCAAATCATTTAACCTCCATCATGTCATCAGTTATTCATGAAGAAGTAACAACTGAGAAGACAAATAAAATAAAAAAGGCTTTTTTGAATCAGTGGTTCTGATAACTGGTGGATCTTAAACTCCAGGTGAGTTTAATCTTCATCCACTGGGAAAAAGTACAAAAAATATTCTGCTCATTTTAACCATTCAGACACAATTTTATCATTATGTTCATTTATGCAGAATAAAAGCATCTTATCTGTACTGCACAGGCTGAAATCTGCCTTCCTGATCTCTGCTTTTCTCAGCCAATCAAACACCAAAAACAATAAATGCTCTATCTGGATTGGCCAATCATGTCTAGATATTCCAGCTTCTTTTAATATGCTAGATATGCTCTATGACAAAGAAACTGTGATTAGACCTCTATATTCAAGCTCTTATTTTGAAGTCAGTTTTAGATATTCGGTTGATACAGAAACAAAGATGGCGGAGCCAAACCAGAACAGGACAGAGAAACAGTGTGAGCTGAGTCCAGTGTGGGACAGAAAACATCCCATGTGGTTTTATTTTATAAAAACTGGATGATCCTTTAGTCTTAATATGTTTAGTTTTAATAGTTTTTAGTTAATGTAGTTAATAGTGTTTAGTTAATAGTGTTTTTTTATAGTGTTTAGTTAATAGTGTTTAGTTAGTAGTTTTAGTTTAGTGTTTAGTTAATAGTAGTTTTAATAGTGTTTAGTTAATAGTGTTTAGTTAGTAGTTTTAGTTAATAGTGTTTAGTAGTTAATAGTTTTAGTTAATCGTGTTTAGTTAATAGTGTTTAGTTAATATGTTTAGTCTTAATAGTGTTTAGTTTTAGTGTTTAGTTAATAGTGTTTAGTTAATAATGTTTAGTTTTAATAGTGTTTAGTTAATAGTGTTTAGTTAATAGTGTTTAGTTTAGTGTTAGTTAATAGTGGTTTAGTTAATAGTGTTTAGTTAATCGGTTTTAGTTAGTAGTGTTTAGTTAATAGTGTTTAGTTAATAGTGTTAGTTAATAGTGTTTAGTTAATAGTGTTTAGTTTTAATAGTGTTTAGTTAATAGTGTTTAGTTAATAGTGTTTAGTTAATAGTGTTTAGTTAATAGTGTTTAGTTAATAGTGTTTAGTTTTAGTTTTTAGTTAATAGTGTTTAGTTAATAGTGTTTAGTTTAATAGTGTTTAGTTAATAGTGTTTAGTTTTATAGTGTTTAGTTAATAGTGTTTAGTTAATAGTGTTTTTAATAGTGTTTAGTTTTTAGTGTTTAGTTAATAGTGTTTAGTTTAAAAGTGTTTAGTTTTAATAGTGTTAGTTAATAGTGTTTACTTAGTGTTTTTTTTAATAGTGTTTAGTTAATAGTGTTTAGTTAATAGTGTTTAGTTTTAATAGTGTTTAGTTTTAATAGTGTTTAGTTAATAGTGTTTAGTTAATAGTGTTTAGTTTTAATAGTGTTTAGTTAATAGTGTTTAGTTAATAGTGTTTAGTTAATAGTGTTTAGTTTTAATAGTGTTTAGTTTAATAGTGTTTAGTTAATAGTGTTTAGTTTTAATAGTGTTTAGTTAATAGTGTTTAGTTAGTGTTTAGTTTTAATAGTGTTTAGTTTGTGTTTAGTTTTTAATAGTGTTTAGTTAATAGTGTTTAGTAATAGTGTTTAGTGTTTAGTTAATAGTTTAGTAGTAGTTTAGTTAATAGTGTTTAGTTATAGTGTTTAGTTTAATAGTGTTTTAGTTAATAGTTTTTTTTAATAGTGTTTAGTTAATAGTGTTTAGTTAATAGTTTAGTTAATCGTGTTTAGTTTTAATAGTGTTTAGTTAATAGTGTTTAGTTAATAGTGTTTAGTTAGTAGTATTTAGTTAATAGTGTTTAGTTTTAATAGTGTTTAGTTAATAGTGTTTAGTTAATAGTGTTTAGTTTTAATAGTGTTTAGTTAATAGTGTTTAGTTAATAGTGTTTAGTTAGTAGTGTTTAGTTAATAGTGTTTAGTTTTAATAGTGTTTAGTTAATAGTGTTTAGTTAATAGTGTTTAGTTAATCGGTTTAGTTTTAATAGTGTTTAGTTAATAGTGTTTAGTTAATAGTGTTTAGTTAGTAGTGTTTAGTTAATAGTGTTTAGTTTTAATAGTGTTTAGTTAATAGTGTTTAGTTAATAGTGTTTAGTTAGTAGTGTTTAGTTAATAGTGTTTAGTTTTAATAGTGTTTAGTTAATAGTGTTTAGTTAATAGTGTTTAGTTTTAATAGTGTTTAGTTAATAGTGTTTAGTTAATAGTGTTTAGTTAGTAGTATTTAGTTAATAGTGTTTAGTTTTAATAGTGTTTAGTTTTAATAGTGTTTAGTTAATAGTGTTTAGTTAATAGTGTTTAGTTTTAATAGTGTTTAGTTAATAGTGTTTAGTTAATAGTGTTTAGTTAGTAGTGTTTAGTTAATAGTGTTTAGTTAATAGTGTTTAGTTTTAATAGTGTTTAGTTAATAGTGTTTAGTTAATAGTGTTTAGTTAGTAGTGTTTAGTTAATAGTGTTTAGTTAATAGTGTTTAGTTAATAGTATTTAGTTAATAGTGTTAGTTAGTAGTGTTTAGTTAATAGTGTTTAGTTTTAATAGTTTTTAGTTAATAGTGTTTAGTTTTAATAGTGTTTAGTTAATAGTGTTTTAGTTAATAGTGTTTAGTTAATAGTGTTTAGTTAATAGTGTTTAGTTTTAATAGTGTTTAGTTTTAATAGTGTTTAGTTAATAGTGTTTAGTTTTAATAGTGTTTAGTTAATAGTGTTTAGTTTTAATAGTGTTTAGTTAATAGTGTTTAGTTAATAGTGTTTAGTTTTAATAGTGTTTAGTTAATAGTGTTTAGTTTTAATAGTTTTTAGTTAATAGTGTTTAGTTAATAGTGTTTAGTTTTAATAGTGTTTAGTTTTAATAGTGTTTTAGTTAATAGTGTTTAGTTTTAGTTTTTAGTTAATAGTGTTTAGTTTTAATAGTGTTTAGTTAATAGTGTTTAGTTAATAGTGTTTAGTTATTGTTCGTTCAGCCGAGCAGCGATAAAGTCTCATTCAGAAGGCCTGAAGGCGACGGATTGAAAACATCTCCATGTGCTTTATGATACGAAACAGAAAACTCAGGTTTTTAAGAAAGTGGCCGCTTATCAATTAATCATTAGTTGATTAATAATTAAATTTAGGTTAACTCATTAATCAATAATCTTGCATCATAAATGTTGCCTCTTTGAGAGTCTGAGCTTCTCAGGTAGATATACTTTGCTAATTTCTCTCTCCTCTGCTCCCTCCATCCCTCCATCCCCTCTGCTCCCTCCATCCCCTCTGCTCCCTCCATCCCCTCCATCCCTCTGCTCCCTCCATCCCCTCCATCCCCTCTGCTCCCTCTGCTCCCTCCATCCCCTCTGCTCCCTCCATCCCCTCCATCCCCTTTGCTCCCTCCATCCCCCCTTTCCCCTCTCTCCTCTCTCCCTCCATCCCCCTCCCTCCCTCTCCCTCCATCCCCTCTGCTCCCTCTGCTCCCTCTGCTCCCTCCATCCCCTCCATCCCCTCTGCTCTCCTCCCTCCATCCCCTTTGCTCCCCATCCCCTCTGCTCCCTCTGCTCCCTCCATCCCCTCTGCTCCCTCCATCCCCTCTGCTCCCTCCATCCCCTTTGCTCCCCATCCCTCTGCCCCTCTGCTCCCTCCATCCCCTGCCCTCCATCCCCTCTGCTCCCTCCATCCCTCCATCCCCTCTGCTCCCTCTGCTCCCTCCATCCCCTCCATCCCCTCCATCCCCTCTGCTCCCTCTGCTCCCTCCATCCCCTCTGCTCCCTCCATCCCCTCCATCCCCTCTGCTCCCTCCATCCCCTGCTCCCTCTGCTCCCTCCATCCCCTCTGCTCCCTCCATCCCCTCCATCCCCTCTGCTCCCTTCATCCCCTCCATCCTCTGTCTCCCGTCTCTCCTCTCTGTCTCCAGCTGTCCTACGGCTCCAGCTCTCCAGCGCTGTCCAACCGCCAGCGCTTCCCCACCTTCTTCCGCACCCACCCGTCTGCCACCCTCCATAACCCCACCAGGGTGCGGCTCTTCAAGAAGTGGAACTGGTCACGCATCGCCACCATCCAGCAGACCACAGAAGTCTTCACCTCCGTCAGTAGCCGCCCTCCCCGCCCGGCTCTTTGTTTTATCACTGCAGTCTTTGGTTTCCTGATTGTCCTCCTGCCTCTCGCTGTTTGTTTATTAGCTCTTTTTGTGTTCTCTGGCCACAGTCAATCTCTGCTGCTGACTGATGGGGGATTTTTTTGGTATATTGGTTGTGAGAAATATTGATCAAGCAATACATCCTCCTCAGGAGCGGCGGTCGATGCCGCGGCACCTGGCCGTTTCCTGTAATGGAAGTTAATGATTCTGCTCCATCCTCTCTCATCTCTCCTTCTACTTTTCTCATTTCCAGCTGATGTCTAAAAAAATCCTCCCTGCTTCTCTTGTTTATCTCACACACACTCATCTCTCTGCTCTATATTTCCAATATACACTGCAGGTGCTGTTATTAGTTTTGTTTTCCCCGTCGGACTTGCTTTTGTCTTTCAACCTGTCACCTCTCTGCGTGTCTCTCTGCCCCCCCACCCCGTCCTTCCTTTCATCTGCCAGACTCTGGATGATCTGGAGCAGAGGGTGAAGGAGGCAGGCATCGAGATCAGCGTTCGTCAGAGCTTCCTCACCGACCCGGCTGTCGCTGTCAAGAACCTCAAGGTGCTTTGATTAAAAATTCACCTCGGCTGCTGGCCGTCTCCTTCCTCCTCCTCCGCCTCACAGCTGCACACGGCGCCATCAGCATAGAGGCGACTTGATGGAGGAAATTAATGCGCCACACTAATTATCAACTCCTGAACAGCAATATGTGCCATCCTGTCAAGCAGCGGGACTTTGGCACATTGTGCTGCCACATCAAGCTGCGATATTGTGAAGTCAAATTCATGCTGCTGATGTAACTAAGCAATGCTTTCTGCTAATTTGATGCAGCGCCAGGATGCCAGGATCATTGTGGGGCTGTTTTATGAAACCGAGGCCAGGAAGGTGTTCTGTGAGGTCGGTGCGTTTCCTCCCTGTCCTCCCGCGTTTGGCTCGGCGTCTCCGGGACTGATCCGTCTCCTTTCCCCCCGCTGCAGGTTTCAAGGAGAAGCTGTACGGGAAGAAGCACGTCTGGTTCCTGATTGGCTGGTACGCCGACAACTGGTTTCAAGATCAAAGACCCGGCCATCAACTGCACGGTGGAGAACATGACGGAGGCCGTGGAGGGACACGTGACCACCGAGATCGTCATGCTGAACCCCGAGACCGTCCGCGGCGTCTCCAACATGGTGAGGCTCCACCCGGATCCACCGCCTGATCCGTAACCGTTTCAACGGGTGGCAGGAAGTCAGAGGAGAACATGACAGCAGAGAAGATGCTCTGGTGCTGCTGACGTAAAAAAACCCAAAACAAAACGGGAAACGAAGCTAAACCATGGAAACCTACAAATACTGAAAAAATATAAAATAATCAGAACTAGTTATGGACGTAAAGTTTTATCACGATGTTCTGTGGTACAATTCAATAACAATAAAATAACAAAAAGTTAATCCTTCTTTTTTAAGTAGCTGCATGACTCTGCAGTCAGAACCCCACAAACACAAATGTCCAGAGAGGTGGAGATAAATGCACACTGCAGTCACTTCATTTAATAATATCTTCAAATCTGTCGATATTTATTAACACAAACAGCGAGGAAAAATATAAACTAACAATCCCAACAGTGTGGACAGTTTTGGCATCATTAAGTGTAATTTATCATGACAACAATAAATCAAAATTCTAGAAATTTATCATGATGATTGATAATCAATATTATTAATGGCACCTAGCATAAACCATAGAACCGTTGGATCAATGTTCAAAAAACCAAGCGCTCCATCTGAGACTCTACAGGCCTCATGTGCCAGGTTAAAGATCAAAGTTCATGAAAAACACTTAGCAAGAACATCTGGACACGTTGAAGGGAAATGACAGCAGGATAAAGACGAGACCAAAGCAAAGACATTCAGCCAAAACTGAAAACCTTTCATCAGCAGCACGGCATTGGAGGAATGATGCTTGGGCTCCTTATGCACTGACTCCTCTGTATCACAGACATACAGCATTTAAACTGCCAACTGAAAATCTCACAACGTTCTTTCTTTGGTCTCTTAGCAACCAGCACAGCCACATGTAGGTGCAACTTGGAGGTGTGTGCACTTTTCACAGCTGAAAAGACAATAAGGGATTCAAACACGAACGGTTCCTTCTGTTCCTTCGTCTTAATTCTTCTGTTAAAGGCGAACAATTAAGGCAATAAGGATGTTAACTTAGCATCCAAGCAGAAGACGGATAAACCTTTAAACTCTGTGGACACTCAGAAAGCTGCAGAAATGCTGCAGAAAAATACAGTTGCATTAAAAAACCACAGGTTGTATTTTGTCCTGCTGTCCAATTTTTCTGAAAGAGGTTTATAAAAAGGCTGTAGTTTTTGTGGCCTGGTCCAGGAGAGGAGGCAGCAGGAGTCGGATCTCCGGTCTGATCCTGACACCGAAACGGCCGTAAAGGACCAGAAATCACCACTTCTGAGTCTGTCCTGTCGGAGCTCTGCCGCTCGGCTCTCTGCGGGTCTTCAGTGATTTATTTCCAGTTTGTCTCGTTAGTTTCGTTCTGTATGCTGACGGATTTTTAGTCGGCTCTCCAGATGTGCCTCTGAGCCGTTTGGGGCGTCTGAACGCCACATGTTGTCGGAATTTATTTCATTTATCAGTTTTTCATCTGTAATGAAAAGTTGAAACAGTTTTTATCAGTTAAATGGTGAAAATGTTGTTTGTTCTGGACTGGATAACGATTCTGGCCTTATTCCGTGGCGTCTGCTGCGTCAGCCCTCCGTCACGTCTTTTCTCCTGGAGTTTCTCCTGGAGTTTCTCCTGGAGTTTTTCCTGGAGTTTTTCCTGGAGTTTCTCCTGGAGTTTTTCCTGGAGTTTTTCCTGGAGTTCTTCCTGGAGTTTTTTCCTGGAGTTTTTCCTGGAGTTTTTCCTGCAGTTTGTCCTGCGACGCGGTTTGAGCCCCCATCAGCTCCGTCGTGGTTGGAAACGTTTCGCTCTCCTATGGAATCCCCTGAGATGCGAGTTGTTCCTGTAAAAGCGGAGTGTTGGGAACAATATTGATAAGTCTTGGTGAACTGTGTGTGACCTGAATCCATTTAGTTTTGGGAATCCGCTGCTCGTTTTAATGCCTGCTTTTCTCATTTAGAAAGATTCTGGTGTAGCAGCTCAGATTCCCGCCGTCCTCTATCGTCTCACGTTGTCTCTTCCTCTCCGGATCCGTCCAGTTGTTGCTCTGATGATCTGTCTCTCTCCGTCAGCGTTCCCTCCTCCCACCTTCCTCCTATCTGCTCCTCTTCCTCAGCAGCTGCTGTTTATATTCCAGCAGCACCTGCCGCTACCTGCGGATTTAGCTGTCCGTGCGCCGCTCGGCAATTGATAAGAATTACAGCCAGACCTCCTGCTTACAGTCAGATCCATTCAAATTCAATTTCTAAGCTGAAATTGGCAGATTGGAGTGATGCTGCGGCCGAGCCGGAGCAGACTGTCAGCTGCCTTTCAAATGGCAAAAGCCGGGGAGGAATTTCAATCAGATGAAATTGACTTAACTGAATCAGAGGTGTGTAGGCCTAATTATCCTGAAAGGATCCAGAGAGACGGCTGCATGAATGGAGTCCCTGCTTTCAGGGGGTTTATCACAAAAGCACCAAAAAAAAACAAAACTGCCTGCAGGAAAAGAAGTGAGAAGCTTTCACTCTTTACTGTTTCTATCTGCTGTGTCTCTATTTAAATGGAGCTGTGGACTTTAAATCAGGTCAAATCAGCCGTTAACAAGGCGGTTCAGTTTGTTTCCCGTTTGTTTTCTTAAAAAAACGTCTCGGCCTTGTTTTCACTTCCCTGAAGGACCAGCATGCAGGAAAACATGGAAAAACCTTCAGCCTTTCAGGCTGGAAATGGAAACATGTTTTCACATTTTGTTTTATAAAATGCAATGACATGCTTTAGTTTGCAGTTTGTACACCTGCTGCACTGAAACCTCGTTTGTTCTCATGTTGAAGACAATCGCCCAGAAGTCAGAGGACATTTGACTTTGTGTTTTGATGATGTGCTGCAGTGAATCAGACGTTTTGCTGAGCCAAGGTTTCTCAAGTTGTCATAGTTTGTGACCCTGTGGGGTAAATTTACATGCAAATCCCATCCAGCAGCATCTCAAACCGAACAATAGAGTTAATCTCTCAGTTTGGGTTAAAAACCTGAAGAAAAGTCACTATTTGTTTAGATTTTGGGGAAAAAAATGGTTGTAAATGGTTAGTTGTGCATTAACGCCTCAGTAATGGCATTGTGATCGATCCAGTTATTGGCTCCACCCATATTGTTATTGATTTATATTTAACTTCATGTTATCTCCTCTGCTGCTCCAGTTCCACCGTCGTCTTGTCTGACCCCCCTGGCTGCAGATCAGCAGCTTATGCGTCAATAAAAAACCTCCGTTAATCTTTACATCTGGAAGCTGAAGAGAGCAGGCATGTTTGACCAAATGTGACATTGCAGCAGTCATCTTGGTGGGCCAGCTCTGAATGCTAATGAGCTTTAATAAACACATTAAACAGACAGAAAACAAGCGGAGCAGAGTGTGGGCCTCTGCGGTCACCTTTCCTGTCCCTCTCGGTCCCTCAGGCTCGCCTGCAGTTAGCTTAGCTGGCACAACTCTGATCCCAGCAGGCGTTTTTATTCCCCAATAAAAGACGGGGTTATAAGTGTGGTCAGCGCTGCTGTCCTTCACTGTTCCTGCAGGCCAGCCCAGCGACATGCAGGAAACGTTTCTGCTCAGTCTGACGAACGGATCTATGGCAAGCTGCTGGTGACAAATGTCCTCTTTGCCTTTGCCTTTTGATATGTGCAAAACATTCAGGTAAACCTGAGGGAACGTGGTTTTATTCCTGCACATTTGATCACTTATTTCCAATAATTACTTTTCCTCTAAAATGTGATTTTTATTGCAGTTTTGCAAATAACTTTAATTTGTTGCATAGCACAAAGTAAAATGCAAATATTTATACTTTAAAGTATCATTTAAAAGCATAGTGTGCAAAAGAAATAAATCTAACTTATTCCTATTCATACTTTTCAAAACATTATTAATAAAGAAAACAGACAGAAATAAACCTGTCTCTTTATTTCAGGTTTGAGACAGTCCATGGACTCATGAACAAGACCCCGACACGCTGCAGCTCCTCCACTGGGGCAGGCGCTCGTCCTCTGTGGACATTTCTTTCAAAATGTTCACAGAGGAAAAACCAGGAAGTGATTGATCAGTGTACTGACAGGAGTTTAACTGCCTGCGTGTCTCCCGGCTTCCTCTGGGATGGAGCCGCTCATTTCTAGTAGTTAGCTCAGCTGAGTTATTCCCTGTGAAGTCATAAATCAGTTTGAGAAATAACATCAAGCTTCAACCAACTCATCTGTGTTCCAGCTGGAAAACCAGTGGGAATTGCTCATTGTTGTACGTAATGACAAGGTTAGTCTTGTCATTACGCACTTAAGTAATTAGCACAAGCTAATGCTGCAATTAACATACTGAAAACTAGGAAAAGTTCAGCAGCATTCTCTGTATCTGAATTAATTAAAGGGAACCTATTATGCTCCTGAAATGCATTTTGATTGGTCAAAACAAGTTCATCACATTTTCTGCACAAAATTATTCTTAGCTAATGAGATAAATTCTCTTACTTTTAGCTGCTTTTGTCTCGTTAAACCCACATAATCTGCTGCTGGCCACGCCCCTTCACAAACAGATCCACAATTATGCAAGTATGCATCCTTGAAAAACAGAAGTGGAGCCTCCTGCAAAACCAGCAAGAATGTAGGGAGTGATTTGTGGAGGGTAAATCAACAACAAAGCAGTTGCCTTTTCCAGCAGCCATTGTACAGCCTATACATCAGTAAACCCAGCTGAGCAAATGTGCTGGAGCATTTCTGAGGTTGCCAGGTCATTCATGATGTCACATTCTGGAGGTTTTTGAAATGGCTCATTTTCCAGACACCAAAAAACATCAACTGGAAAACAGCTGGATGTGTTTAGAAGCAGCAGAAGCTCAAATGGAAAATGTGAATTTAGCACAATAGATCCCCTTAAATCAAACTGAATGAAGTTCAAATAAAGAGGTTTTACTGCAGTTTTTCTCCACACCAGGCAGCGTGCTGCAGTTTGAAGTTCAGGAATCCAATTTCCAAGTTCAAACTGAACGCATTATTCCAGCATGCTGCTTAGTTGATGGATTTCAGCCCTGCAGATTCGTCTCCGAAAGCTTTTTGTGTTAACTCGGTTGGACTTGTTTCTTCTCTTCCTGTCCTCGCTCCGCCAGACTTCACAGGAGTTTCTGGGAGCCTTGATGTCTCGTCTTGGGGGGAAGAACCCAGAGGAGACGGGCGGCTTCCAGGAGGCGCCGCTCGCCTTCGACGCGGTGTGGGCCCTGGCGCTGGCCCTCAACAAGACCGTGGCCCCCCTGAAGGCCAAGGGCCGGCGGCTGGAGGACTTCAACTACAACAACCACGACATCACCTCGGAGATCTACAGAGCCCTGAACACCAGCTCCTTCGAAGGGGTTTCGGTGAGTGCAGCAGGTCAACACGGGGAAGAAAGAGTCGGACTCTAACCGTCTCTGCAGATGTTTCTGGATCCACCGACTGATAAGCTCTTCTCTACTTCTGAGTGACATCTGTACTGAACTGGTGCAGGCAGAAGGGGAAGAATAATTAGGAAATTATTCTGACACTAATCTTGTAGGGAATCCTGACTGAATGTTAGGACAGAAATGTTTTTATTTTTATTGTTGGAAAGAGAGATTTGCTTTCAGAGCCTTTCTGGCTTCCAGCAGAGTTTGAGACACGAACCACTGTTTTAGTAATTAATTGATTAATAAAAAATTACATTCTATAGATTTATCATTAAACCACATGAACCTTTAAAATGTGCAAATGAGCAATTCAGGTCTTTTTGTTCAATAAGAAAAACATTTTGTTGGATTAAATACATCAGCAGATAAACTGAAGGAGTTCTGAGGAAAACATTTTATCTTTAATTCAAAATGAATAAATATTTTGTACAGTTTTGGCTTAATTACTGTTCTGAATGTTTTTTTAAGCCATTTTCTTTTTGAGTTTTGTTCTCCAGGTAACAATTAATCGATTACTAAACTATTTACTATTATTTCAATAAATACTGGCAATATTTTTGAACAGCATTCAGCCGACTGAAAGCTCTGCTGCTTTTTGAACTTTTTCTCATCATGATTTGAGGAAAAGTTTGTGAAACGGATCTGATCGGTGCGTCCGCTCTCGGCCTGGTTCATTGACGGCTCTGTGGCTTCGCATCAATATTTTCATCCTATGAAAGCTCGGTCATCGATTCCCAGCGTGACATTTACATTTGGCAGCTCATGTTGTGAACTTGAAAGGAGTCAATTGAGCGCACCGATTTCAGCGGCTGTGAACTCAAACAAAACCGCTGGAAACGCGCAGGCCTCTTCCACTGTCGGCCGGATTCGGTCCGGCCATTGGATAAGTTTACCGACTACGAGCTAGTTTTTATTTTTTGCCCTTTAAGTTATTGTCTTAATAACAGTAATAATGCTTGATTGGAGCCATGAGACAATGAACAAACTCCTTCCAGCTGCAAGCGGCCGTTGTTTTCAAACTTGGTACAAAAAGCCAGAAAGTTCAGAAAATACATTTATTAAATAATATCCATAGCCAGAGGCAGACAGAATGGCTTTTCCCCAGTTTTCATCACTTTTATAGGTTTGAGTACAAAACAACAAATACAAAATTAAACAAAACTAAGAGAGAAAACTCTCCAGTGAGCATGTTTGCTTTGCATTTAAAAAATAAATTGATAAAAATCTTGTTTGCAGTGTTTAGTCTTTGTGAGCGATTTGGCACATTAAATATAATTAACTCAATAAATACATGATGGAAACATCAGAAAAGGGAAAACAGACTTTAAAATTAACATCCACATTATTTTCCTGACAGGCCAAATAAACCAAATTATTTCCATTAATGGCACTCCATAGTTTGCCATTTTGGCGACTCCCAGATTATTGGGACTTTTTTGTTCTAAATTGACAAAGCGGTCCAAATGTCGTTCATTGGTCGGTCGATTATTGATCATCTGTCCAATAATTGAGTTATTAACATGTAGCTGCTAAATGCTAATCGATGCTAATCGTGTTTTTCTGATTTAAGACTTTCCAGCGGTGAAGCCTGATCAGAGATGCTCGATGTGTTAGAGGAGACGGTGTGTGTGTGTGTGTGTGTCTGTGTGTGTGTGTGTGTGTCTGTGTGTGTGTGTAGGGGTGTGTGTGCCTGTGTGTGTGCCTGTGTGTGTGTGTGTGTTTTCTAACCCAGTTCTGTCCTCTCCAGGGTCACGTGGTGTTTGACGCTCAGGGTTCCAGGATGGCAATGACCCTCATCGAACAACTGCAAGGTAAACCCAGTGAGACTCAGAGTAACGGTGCTGCAGCTGCTCTCAGCTGCTGCAGCTGCTTGCTGCAGTCTTGACGTTGTAACGGCGCAGGCGAACAGCCTTAATGCAGGAATGTGGTGACTCAAGGTTTCGCTCTAATTGGCCAAAAGCCTCTCGGTTTTAAGCTGTTTCTGGAAATGGCATCCTATTTGTCACCAGAGACTTAATGAGTTTCCCAGCTCCAGATAAGGTGGGGATTATTCTCCACCTGTTCTCATTGGCGTCCTAACGGATGAAAATTTCTAATCCGCCCCCTTGTCTCCGTGACGCTGTGGCTTCCTGCCGTGGCTTTGAGGTAATTTGACATCCAGGATGAGGCGACCTGACTGGAATGCCTGATCCGACCCGGAGCTCATCAGCATCCTGGTCCAGCTCTCTCCTTCTCTCCCCTTGTTCCTCCCCATGCTGCTTTTCATCCATCATTTACTTTAGCAGTTTATCTCATTTCTGCTGCTCTCGTGGGCTGCGCTGACGAAATACCTGCGCTATAAATACATGTTTACTAGCTCTGTGACAGAAGAACTTACACATAATTAGCTCCTGTTGTTCCTCTTGATTCTGCAGGAGGAAGTTATAAGAAGATTGGTTACTATGACAGCTCCCAGATGAACCTGAGCTGGTTCAACAACGACGTCTGGATCGGTGAGACATCCGACCGTCTGTCATCCAACTGTCTGTCATCCGACCGTCTGTCATCCAACCGTCTGTCTCCAACTGTCTGTCATCCAACCGTCTGTCATCCAACTGTCTGTCATCCAACCGTCTGTCATCCAACCGTCTGTCATCCAACCGTCTGTCATCCAACCGTCTGTCATCCAACCGTCTGTCATCCAACTGTCTGTCATCCAACCGTCTGTCATCCAACCGTCTGTCATCCAACCGTCTGTCATCCAACTGTCTGTCATCCAACCGTCTGTCATCCAACTGTCTGTCATCCAACCGTCTGTCATCCAACTGTCTGTCATCCGACCGTCTGTCATCCGACCGTCTGTCATCCAACTGTCTGTCATCCAACCGTCTGTCATCCAACTGTCTGTCATCCGACCGTCTGTCATCCAACCGTCTGTCATCCAACTGTCTGTCATCCGACCGTCTGTCATCCAACCGTCTGTCATCCAACCGTCTGTCATCCAACCGTCTGTCATCCAACCGTCTGTCATCCGACCGTCTGTCATCCAACTGTCTGTCATCCAACCGTCTGTCATCCAACCGTCTGTCATCCAACCTTCTGTCATCCAACCGTCTGTCATCCATCCATCCTGATTGAATGTTGTTGGTTTCTGTCTAGTTAAAAAGCCGTTTCTTCATCTTTCGTCTCATGTTTGATCTCAGCGTCTCGTTACTCTGATAATTGCCCTTCATTGCATTTATGTATCGGATTTAACTCTCATGTTGTGGTAAACCAGATCTCTCTGATCAACGGTTCCCTGGAATCTACACAATCATTTCAGAATATTACAACTCCGATGTCTTTTTCCAAATCTTTCAAGTCTGCAGCAATTTGCCTCTAAAACTCTCCACTGCAACTAGAGAAAAGCCTTTCAATACAGGCATTGCATTATGTTTTGAAAATGGTTGTGCGTTATATTGCAGCAGGCGGGCAGTTAATCGCACCGGGGCAGGGTAGAGTTCCATCAACGCATTTGTGTCAATCTGATGCACATTAAGTCCAATTGGCTGTAGTTGGGTTTTTCAGATGAAGGGTTATTATTGGCAGCATTCGCTGGCTGTCAGTCTTCAGGCTGCTGCTGCTTCCCCCGTATGAAGCTTTCTGAACAGGTGATGCTGTATTCTCTGAGCGGTTTGAGTAAATGCATCCCTCCGCTCATCAAGTGGATGTTCAAGTGGTTGTGATTTTCTGTAATTCCTGCAGCTATCAAATGGAAAAGAGAAGAAAAGCAGGTTTAAGGTTAAATGCTGCAAAAAAAGAGGATTTTTATGGATCCTAATGACCAGCAGAGAGCGTGACTAACAGTCAGTGCACTTTTTTTAATGAGCAGGAAACGTTTTAATGAGCTAAACGTCTCTGCCTGACACCTCACAGGCAAACTGGACCAGAACGTCTGCAGCTCAGACCTCACCAACCGTAATGTTGCCTGGGAGTCTGCAGCCTGTCTCCGACTTCGCAGTGAAAACCCGTTAATGTTGATTTACCTCAAACACCACGGCCAGCGCTGCGCCTGTTTACTGGCCTGGCTGCTCCCTGCAGAGGTGACATACTTGTTCATGGACGGAGCGTGTCACTGATCAATCCTTCGTGTCCCAGTGGCTCACAGAAAGCTGCTCTTTTTCAGGCTTTTAAGGAAACAGGCGCCTGCCAAGGCTGAACTGAGTCCTGAAGAGGCTCAGATTCCAGGTCAGCGTCCGCGGTGAAGCATGGTTGATCCGTAAACATGTCTGACTCTTTGCGTTGCCTTGTTGCTATCAGAAGCCTCTAATGTGTGAGAAGCAGCTGAGTTTGCCTCAAAAGGGTCAGATGTGATACAAAACGTCTTTAATTGCCTCCGTTGACAAATTGCCCTGCCTTATTTTCTGCAGCCTCATTTTGGTTTTGACTGTTCACCACAGAAGGCGTCGCCATGTGACATCTTTTTGTTGGGAGGAAGTGAGTAATTTCCTGCTCTTTGGGGCTGACTGCGTTCAGGGAAGTCTTCCTCTTGAAGAGTGGAGGAGTGGGAGGAGGGGGGCTTGAATTGCTCCACGCTGACAGGGTGGAGTAAACAGAGCGGTTCTCCATTTAACCCCTCCAATCATTTCACTGAGGTCTTACCAGCCCTGCTGCCCCCCCTGTTGCCCCGCTGCCCCCCCACACCACCATCCTGCACCGCGCTGCACTTTCTCACTCGCTGCGCGGTCGCCCTAACAACCGCTTCGGCTCGGCTTTTCTTCTAATCGCTGTGGCAACTGTTTCAGAGCCACAGGGTCTCCATGGCAACAGCCTGTCCCGATTCTTTCATCCAGGATGGAGGATCAATAGGATCAATAGGATCAATAGGATCAATAGGATCAATAGGATCAATAGGATCAATAGCATCAATAGGATCAATAGGATCAATATGATCAATAGCATCAATAGGATCAATATGATCAATAGCATCAATATGATCAATAGCATCAATATGATCAATAGCATCAATAGGAAATAGGATCAATAGCATCAATATGATCAATAGCATCAATAGGATCAATAGGATCAATATGATCAATAGCATCAATATGATCAATAGCATCAATAGCATCAATAGGATCAATAGGATCAATATGATCAATAGGATCAATAGGATCAATATTATCAATAGGATCAATAGGATCAATAGCATCAATAGGATCAATATGATCAATAGCATCAATATGATCAATAGCATCAATAGGATCAATAGGATCAATATGATCAATAGCATCAATATGATCAATAGCATCAATAGCATCAATAGGATCAATAGGATCAATATGATCAATAGGATCAATAGCATCAATAGGATCAATAGCATCAATAGGATCAATATGATCAATAGGATCAATAGGATCAATAGGATCAATAGGATCAATAGGATCAATAGGATCAATAGGATCAATAGCATCAATAGGATCAATAGGATCAATAGGATCAATAGGATCAATATTATCAATAGCATCAATATGATCAATAGCATCAATAGGATCAATAGGATCAATATGATCAATAGGATCAATAGCATCAATAGGATCAATAGCATCAATAGGATCAATATGATCAATAGGATCAATAGGATCAATAGGATCAATAGCATCAATAGGATCAATAGGATCAATAGGATCAATAGCATCAATAGGATCAATATGATCAATAGGATCAATAGGATCAATAGCATCAATAGGATCAATAGGATCAATATGATCAATAGGATCAATAGGATCAATATGATCAATAGGATCAATATGATCAATAGCATCAATAGGATCAATAGGATCAATATGATCAATAGCATCAATAGGATCAATAGGATCAATAGCATCAATAGCATCAATAGGATCAATAGGATCAATAGGATCAATAGCATCAATAGGATCAATAGGATCAATAGGATCAATAGGATCAATAGCATCAATAGCATCAATAGGATCAATAGGATCAATAGGATCAATAGGATCAATAGCATCAATAGGATCAATAGGATCAATAGGATCAATAGGATCAATAGGATCAATATGATCAATAGGATCAATATGATCAATAGCATCAATAGGATCAATAGGATCAATATGATCAATAGCATCAATAGGATCAATAGGATCAATAGCATCAATAGCATCAATAGCATCAATAGGATCAATAGCATCAATAGGATCAATAGCATCAATAGGATCAATAGGATCAATAGGATCAATAGCATCAATAGCATCAATATGATCAATAGGATCAATAGCATCAATAGGATCAATAGGATCAATATGATCAATAGGATCAATAGCATCAATAGGATCAATAGCATCAATAGGATCAATAGGATCAATAGCATCAATAGGATCAATAGCATCAATAGCATCAATAGCATCAATAGCATCAATAGGATCAATAGGATCAATAGCATCAATAGGATCAATAGGATCAATAGCATCAATAGCATCAATAGCATCAATAGGATCAATAGCATCAATAGGATCAATAGCATCAATAGGATCAATAGCATCAATAGGATCAATAGGATCAATAGCATAGGATCAATAGGATCAATAGCATCAATAGGATCAATAGCATCAATAGGATCAATAGGATCAATATGATCAATAGGATCAATAGCAATAGGATCAATAGCATCAATAGGATCAATAGGATCAATAGCATCAATAGGATCAATAGCATCAATAGGATCAATAGGATCAATAGGATCAATAGGATCAATAGGATCAATAGCATCAATAGCATCAATAGGATCAATAGGATCAATAGCATCAGGAGCATCAGTGCTGCAGACACAATGAGTGAAGGACAGCTGACATCCACACCCACTCAGGAATACTCCGGCTTCCTGTACGTTCATTCACTCACATCTATAACCTTTAGATTCCCATCACATATTTAACATGGTAGCATAAGAGGCCAATTTGTGTAGCGATTCTCCAGAGGGAACGACGGCTCTTAACTGGGTTCATGTATGAAAACCTTTAGACAGAGGGAAAATGTGAGGTTTAAATCAAAACGTTGCTGAGACACTTTGGTTCTGGAGCAGGACGGATCCAAGTCCTGCTCCAGAACCATGGCTCTGAAAGTCTAAAAAATGAAATGCACTTTTATCTAACTCCAGTCCGTTTGTGTAGAAAGTCCGGTTCGTTGATGGAGCTGTGAACTCTGGTCTGGCTACAAACGAACTCCGGGTAGGAAGTGGACTGCAGCGCAGGGCATTCTGGGTAAATGGTTTGACAGTGAAGTGTGAAAGAGAACTGCACCAAGTGAAAAGTGTTGGACCTTCATGTTGTCAATTACCTGGCCTAAGTTAGAGTCAGGTGTTTCCTACTGAAACTGTTCTGGACAAGCTTTAGATCGTTTGTCTCGTTTCTGGAGGGAAACAAAAGCTCAACTCAACTGTTGAGCATCTTCGCTTCAGATAAATGCCACAAACTCCAAAATGGCAGCGTTTTTTTTGCTAATCCTGAAACCTTCA